AATAATAATAATAATAATAATAATAATAATAATAATAATAATAATAATAATAATAATAATATAAATCTGCTTATTACAAATTCAAAAAATAAAATCTCATTAGAGTAAGTAAATGTCATCATATGCAATACATGAATGAAATAGGGAAAATTAAATTGACATAAAGGCAAACATAGATTATTAAGTAGACTTATTCGGCTTAAATATTTGAATTTGACTACACAAGTAAGACATTATTACTCTTCTTATTAAAATAACAGATTACTGTTTAGTAAAAAATCAAAAAGTTCATGTTTTGCACATAATTTTAAAAAACTAAATTAAATACTAAAGGTACATCAACCATTCATTCATTATAGTGTGGCAATCCATTAATTAACTACATTATTAAGTTCTTTTTCTAGGTAGCAAATAATTAAGTTATATTATCTAATCACAATTTAAGTCACAAAAAGATAAATAAATTTATTGCTGAAATAAATTTTGAAATTATATATGATTATTTATTTGTCGAATACTATTTTATTGTACAATTTATGTACTTATTATAAAACTTTTACTTTATTATGCATCTTAAAATATAATCTATATATATATATATATATTATATAATAAGAATTACTCTTTATAAAAAACAGTAAGTCAATCCTTGGTCAAAACTGATCAACATTAATTACATGTCATTTATACATGTCATTTATAGTATCTTTTAATATTTTTTTATTAAAAACGAACAGCATTAAATGTTGTCCTGAGGAGTTTGTTACTTTTTTATTTTCAAAAAAGCAGGCTGCTATTTAAATTTGGTCTATTGAATATTTGTGATGGTTTGACACGATGTGCATATCAAAAGCTGATAATTCATGGGCTGCATCAATAAAATAATAAAATTTGGTTATTGGTTACAAGAAGCTATTTTTAAATTTGAATAAAAATGTACGTCACGACTGCTAATTCAATTAAATATCGGCCAATTATATTCTCCAAATTTAAACCCAAATATTTGGCTCATACAATTGCTTTGCTTGCCAGCTTTTTTTTCAATAAAAAAGTTACGATCGATTTAATAAAAAAATTATGTGTTATTTTTTCTAACATTAAAATATACTTTTGTATTTTCAAAATATCGGAAACTTTTTTTTTTCTATAAAATCGGCTAATACATATGTTTTGATTAGAAGATTTTATTTTCAAAAAAAAGTACTGCTAATTTAAGGGTAAAATATATTAAAAAAATCATTTGTTTATTTCTTTTGAAAACATTTTTTCTAACTATCAAATCAGGCAGCTTCAATTAAAAGAATAATGTTACGGCTGATTCAATTGTTTTGTTTGACAATTATTTATTATGAAAAATAATACACGGGTCCAATTTTGAAATGATCAAAATTTTTATGGTCTTTGTTTAAATCAGAGATTCAAAATAAGAATAATCTCCATATTTAAATTGTTTTAATTAACGTGATGTATACAAGATTTAGATAGATTTATCGCATATCATCATCTAAATTAATGATTTTATTTTTTTTTTAAATTTCAAAATACCAAATCATATTTTTATGGTCTTTGTTTAAATCAGAGATTCAAAATATCTTAATCTCCATATTTAAATTGCTTTAATTGTAAACATGATGTATACAAGATTTAGATAGATTTATCACATATCTCCCCTAAATTAATGATTTTATTTTTTTTTCTAAATTTCAAAATACCAAATCATAAAGTTGCGGCTGATTTAATTATTAAACGATATTTTGCAATCATAGATTCGAGTTATCTTCAAATTCAAAATTTAAATTGCCAATATGTAGATAAATTTGGACAGACTAAATACATATGATCCCTAAAAATGAAAGATTTTATTCCATTAAAAAAACATAAAATATGAACTTAAGATGTAGATTATATTATGCACGTGTGATAATTTAATTTTACATGCTATGAAAGTCATATTGTTTATCCGTGCATCGCACGGACTACGTACTAGTTCTTCAAAAAGACAGTTTTATATGTGCATGTTTTTATATGTATATATATTTTATTTGTTTTGCAGTTTTTTGCTGAATCGGGATTCCCATGTCCGAGCAGGAGAAACCCTTCGGATCATTTCCTGCGGTGCATTAACTCGGATTTCGATATAGTGACAGCCACATTGAAAGGCTCGCTAAGGCTTCGTGTGAGTATCGATTATTTGCGAATATATCGGTTTTTTCCGTAATTTGCGTTTTTCTTGCTTTGAGTTCGCTAATTGAGGCTTATGTGTAGTAGTAATGCTGTCTAAATGGCTCAAAATGTTGTGTGATGGTTTTATTATGAAGAAAGCTCTCAACTATTGGTTTTTGCGTAGTTGCCGTTTTCTTGCTTTGAGTTTGCTAATTGAGGCTTATGTGTAGTAGTAATGCTGTCTAATTGGCTCAAAAGAATAAATTACAATTTTAGTCCTGTATTTTTCACTACCCTAACTTTTTCGTCCTCTTCGAATTGCGTTTTTTATTTTCGTCCCTTATGTTTGCAAAAAGGTTACAAAAAGGTCCTTTTCATATATAAGGGACGAAATTGGAACCTTTTTTTTGCAAAACATAAAGGATTTTTTTGTTGCGAAAAGGACCTTTTTGTAATTTTTTTGCATACGTACGGGACAAAAATCAAAAACACAATTCGAATAGGACGAAAAAGTTAAAGTAGTGAAACATACAAGACTACAATTGCATTTTACTCTGGCTCAAAATGTTGTGTGATGGTTTTATTATGAAGAAAGCTCTCGACTATTGGTGCCGAATGGCATCTTGAAGATTAATATTTTTGTTCAAGCATACAAAACTATGAAGATCTAATTCGTCCTTTTAAATGACAGGAGACTGAAAAAACTTCTGATCCCCTAATGAATCTAGCAACAGCAGATATCAAATCAATCCTTGTCGAAAAATATAAGCAATCGGCATACGCGAAAAGAGCGAAATTGAGATCGCGGGAAGTTTCCGTTAATGTAAGTAGATTATAAACAGATTCAAACTATAGACCAAAGATCTTTTGTAATTTTTAACAAAACATTAATATATACATTTTCAGCAAGAACTGGAGCTTGAATCGGTAAAAGGAAGCCAAGCTAGGTGGTGGAAGCAGCTTTCGACACTGACACACAGATCGTTCCTAAATATGTCCCGAGATGTGGGCTATTATTGGTCCCGAATAGTCATATACACAATTGTTGCTATATGTGTTGGGAGTTTATTCTATGATGTGGGCACGAGTTATACCGCCATATTAGCCAGGGGAGCTTGTGGCGGCTTTGTCACGGGCTTCATGACTTTTATGTCCATTGGTGGGTTTCCCTCATTCATTGAAGAAATGAAGGTAATTACTAATCACCCCACTTCACAAAAAAGAAATATATTTTGAATTAAAATACCATTTGAGCGATCTTTTTTTTTTAGGTGTTTTATAGGGAAAGGCTTAACGGTTACTATGGGGTGGCCGTGTTCATACTGTCGAACTTCTTGTCTTCTTTTCCCTTTTTGGTTGCTGTCTCGGTTGTGACCGGGACTATCACGTTTTACATGGTGAAGTTTCGTTCGGGATTTTCGCATTACGCCTTCTTTTGCCTTAACATTTTCGGGTGCATTGCTATGGTGGAGAGCGTGATGATGATTGTGGCTTCTTTGGTTCCTAATTTCTTGATGGGGATCATAGCTGGCGCTGGTGTTCTCGTAAGCAACTCTTTTAAAAATGCTCTAACCAATTTTTTTTTTCTTTTAATATATTGTTGCGAATGCTTGTTTGATTTTGTGAATGATTTTATTTGCGCAAAAGGGGATTATGATGATGACAGCTGGCTTTTTCCGGTTGTTGCCGGATCTTCCCAAGCCCGTCTGGCGCTATCCGATTTCGTTCATTGGGTATGGTGCATGGTCATTGCAGGTATGCTTTTTCCTCCCTCAAGTCTTCTTAAAAATTATTTTTATTTTTGTTTCTCTTCTCTTATATTACAAATGTGGAGGAAATGATAATGCAGCTGATAAAATTCATTGTTGTCTGTCTACTTGCCTAATCGTAATTGCCACGATTTTTCTGTACTTATTGGATTCAAAGGTTGTATCAAAATTCGACAGCATTATTGACACAGAGTATGTGCAATGGTCAAATAGAGAAGTCTTCAGTCCTGGCTGAAAAAATAATAAAAATGATATTTAATGTTTGTGAATGCCGAACGTGCTGAAAAAATGTGAGGAAAGCTAACATAGTCGACATGCAGGGAGGATACAAGAACGATTTGCTTGGGCTCGTTTTTGATCCTTTGTTCGCCGGTAACCCTAAAATAACGGGCGAATACGTACTAACGAAAATGTTTGGGATATCACTGGATCATTCCAAGTGGTGGGATTTACTCGCAGTGTATGTTCTCATCATAGCTTACAGACTCGTGTTCTTTCTCGTTCTCAAGTTAAAGGAGAGAGCTTCACCATTTTTACATTCGATTTATACAAAGAGAACCCTTTATCGCCTTAGTAAGACGGGCCTTACTTCAAAGAGGTCACGAAATGCGCGCTCACTTTCATCACAAGAGGGTCTTACTTCCCCCATTGTCTAAACAAACAAACAAAAAAAAAAAAAAACCCTGTTTTTTTAGCAGAGTTTTATGGAGTGGTTGATAATAATAGTGGTGCAACAAATTGTGTATGTGTTGTGTTATTTCTTTTGCTTTTTTAAAGAAAAACATAGAATCACTTGTAACTAATACCAAGCATATATATACACGTATTGTTTGTTGTTCACCGAGCTTTCGCCATGAGTAGTACCCTTCGATTAATAAATTTAATCAATTACATGCCTAGGGATGATGACTTTGTACCAAAACGCAAATCCGGATATTGGTTGAAAATTTACATTAGTAGCAACTGCCCTTTACACTATTCAATTGTGCTTAACGTGACACGATGAAAGTTCTCGTTGACCTAAGAAAAGCACAGAATGCAATCACATTGACCTTTAATGATTCAGTTGCATGCTTATGGAGATTAATTCTGACAATTTCTGCCTAGCATTGTTTTGAATCCATGGTTATGCATGAAATCTGCTATGTGACAATAGAAGTAGTTATATCACCACTGTTTTTTTGTTCATCACAGGTAAGTAATTAAGATCTTAATCGCCTTCTTCTTTTCACATAAGTTATTATGTTCACTGTTACCATTATGTTGACATTTGTTGTTCATTGAAAGCAACATATGTGACTTGATTGCAAGACTAAATGCAATTGCTATTTGCATTAAGGAATAATATAAGAACACTCCAACTAACAGGCAATTATTGTAATAAGTGTTAGGTTATGGATTTTTCAAATCCTAACACCAATCACTCACTATCAACTCTTTAACTAAACCCAGCTGAGTTGACTGATTCTAGTTTGCTTATTTTGGTTTTAATGTCCTTATCACGTTTTTTTTCTAATTTATATTCGTAAAATGCAGGGAGCATACAAGAATGACATGATTGGGATGGTTTTCGAGCCTCTAATCCCTGGCGACCCAAAAATCAAGGGAGAGGATGTGATAAAGAACGTGTTCCGAATATCGTTAGATCACTCCAAGTGGTGGGACCTATTCGCACTCTTTGCTCTGATAGTTTGCTACAGATTCATCTTCTTCATAATTCTAAAGGTGAAAGAGCGAACCTCCCCATTTTTCCAGTCCCTTTACGCGAAGAGGGCCGTTCACCAGTTCAAAAAGCGGCCCTCCTTTAAGAAAAAGCCGTCTTATAATGGCTCATCAAAAAGGCACCATAATCTCCATCCCTTGTCTTCTCAGGAAGGTCTGAATTCGCCAATTCCCTAAGGCAACAAGAAAACCGCGAAATTTGATACTTTCTTTTATTCTTTCGTTCTGTCATTTGGCGCGACACTACTACTAATTTAATGGTTGTGGAGCAATTTTAATGTAATAAAATGCGACTCTTTGAAGAAAAGAAAAAGGGTAGCAGTTAGCACTCTCAAAGAGTTTATTCTTTCTTGTTTTTGTTTGTTTTGTTTGTCAAACTAGCCAATAAAGAGAACTTGTTCATCTTTTTATTGTCCAGAAATCTCCATGTTGTGTTGAATGGAACTTGTTTTATGATTCTAGTGAAGGCTTTTGGTATGTATATTGAACTTTGGTAGATAGCCAATGCACGCATTAATATATGTGGTCCAGTGTTCTTATTTGTGCAGAACTGAAATGAATTTGGAAATTCTTTCTTACTTTCATTTGACTAACTGCAGAAGAAACTGCCATATTAATTGAACTTTTTTGTGAAGGAAAGGGACAACATTTATACTGTTCAACTCAATGAAATTTACTTGGCCAGAAGGTTTATGGAAGTTATAATGTGAGATAGTTTTTTTTTTTTTTTTAACTTATTATATAATGTTTTATTGAATTTTTTTTACTAAAATTAATTAATGAGTTAAAATTAAAGGTTATATTTATTACGGTTGGATAATCAGTTATAAAAACTTGGGTTTGACTCGATTTTGACTGATTTTTTTAAAGCTAAATATTTTAATTCGGGTTGAATTAAATTGTGTAGAAATATTTTGCGTTCGAGTAAATACTCGTGGTATATTTATTTTCTCAAAACTGATTTTCCGTGAGTGAGAAATAAATGATTAAAGTTAGCTATAAATTGGCATGTAAAACGATAGTTGTGATATTCGAATGGTCAAGAGTCCTTACCCACGTTGGACTCTTAAATGTAATTTAATTCTCTTTATGCACTAAGTGTTGGTGTTAGCTTCGGCTACAGGCGCACGCTCGGCTCAGCTCGGGCTCGGACACGAGCCTAGGACTTGGGTCATGGGTCTTGGTCCTTGGCCCTTGGCAATTGGACGGTCTGGCCTAGTATTGGGCTTGGGCCTTAGGCCCAACCACTATATATGTTTTTGCTGCAATTTTATTTGCCCACTAAAGACAACTATTAGTTGGTTGTTTCATGTCTTACATGGCTGAAGACCAGAGGTCATTTCCAGCTGGCTAGGAGTCCTAAATATAGGACATGGGGGAACCAACTCGACCAAGATTGAGATAACTGTGTTTTTCATGTACTTATCTAAATAAAATAAAATAAATTGACGACATCGATGGTGGATAAAGAGAGAGCTCGTGGAGAAGGAGGTGGTAATAACACTTGGCTACATACTCAACCTATGGGAGCAGTACCACCCATCGAAATGCTGATGTAGGGGAACGTACAAGTGAGAGAAAGATAAAAGAGATTTTAATCTCAAATACTATATTTTCTTATTCAATGTCAACAAAAGGAAAGAGTCTTTAAATAAGACTTTTACACAACCCTAGACTTAACTTATTCCTTAAGAAAATAATAAACTTTTTTATTAAACTAAAATAAGTAGGAAAATAATAAGATAAATAACTAAACCAAAGCCGGGAGACGATCTTTTCTTTCCAGAAAGGCCAATGCAACTCGTTGTCATCACTGGCGGATCCAGCATAGTTTGTTGGGGTATAGCACTGTCAGGATATCAAGGAACTGCAACAAGATATCAAAATAGGGGGAAAAACACATTGCCACAAAAGTAAAACGAAGAAGAAAAAGAAAAAGAAAAGAAAAAGAGGAAAATATGTACGAGAAAACCAGATAAGAAGCAGGCATGTATGTCTAATTTCCTTTCCAGATATAAGAAGAGGCAAATATGTACGAGAACAAGATAAAAAACAGAGACTTCAATTTCCTTTCAGCTTTATTGTCTTTTTTAAAAACAGATCTCAAATTTGACAACAAAAATTGCCAGAGAAACAAATCTTTTCACACAAATTCACCTTACAAACACACTGCCACAAATTCACAGGCCCCCATTACATAAATGTCTTGGATCCGCCGTTGGTTGCACTACAAGAATAATCATTTTTAGTGACGATAATTTTTGTCGTAATAATCGTTTTATAGTCATGACATTAATGTCGTCACTAAAATTAATATCGCTAATAACGATTATTCTTGTAGTGTTGTTATCACTCACCCATGAGAAGTAACCAAGAACTTTGATTAAAGAAACTCGACACGGGGAGGGGATATTCGATAGAGTCCCGCTCGAGCCAACGCAGGAAGGAGGGTCGGTAAACACGAGGAGATCGAGCTTGGGACAGATGGGACTTGAGCCCGTATACAGGTGGTGAGCCCGCACGTGGGAGCTCGAACTCCTTCCCCCCCTCCCGAGCCGCTCATCCAGGTCATGAGGACCAAGCTAGAGACGATGATCGCTGAGGTAGTGGCAACACGCACTCAACACATCTCCACCCCCACACTAGAGGTAACAACTCGACCCATGGAGCGACTCATAACGTCAAGGCGGGAGGATGATGAGCCAGAGCGATCCATCAACTCACCGGGTATTACGTTGCAGGCCCGACGAGATGTAACGCCCCATTTTATTTTAAAGAATTTATCGAATTTATTTAATAAAAATCAGAGTTTTTTTTTTTTTTTTTTTTTTAATCAAAAT